TATGTATGTATATAGATATATATAAAATTTTTAATCTATTTAGCAGTTTTCCCTCCCCTCCCATCCCAGTAACCAACAAAGATTCTCTCTGTATATAGAAGGAATATATATATATATATATCCTCTTCAAGACACTTCTTTTATTTCATACAGATATTTTTGTTCTCAACAGGAGGATCAGTTAGAATGGTCTGTTAGAACACCAGAGCAGAAATCAAAGTTGCTGTGTTGTTCTCATCGTTTTATCAAATTATGTTCTAACAAATAATTTTTCTGACCATTAAAGTTTGGGATTTAGTTTGGAGTATTTTCTGAAGAGTCATTTGATCATATTTGCTTTACTATTCATGAAATGTTTAAAATTTTGCAGGTTTGTGTTAACGATGATCTGGTTGCAAAGAACTTCGCTTGTTATATGTCAACCACAGAGAGTGAAATCCTTGATTCTTTAGAGAAACCAAAATTGAATATAAAGTCAGCATCCTTAGCCAATAAACTCAAACCTGCACTTAGTCTTTGGCCGATGTTTTTGCAAGGAAAAGATTCTCAAGTAATAAAACGTGAGTGTACTCTAATATATATTTCCTCTCAATTTGTCTTAATTATAGGAATCTTGGTGTATTGGTATAAATTGTTGTGCAGATGTTTCCCCACACAGAGACAGATTTGGCTGTGTGTTTGATACTTAATTTAAATCCTGGTATGAGCTGGAATTGACTTGATAGCAACAAGTACTGATAACCTGTGACAGGTTTTAAGGCCCTGAAGCTGTTACAATCTGTTTTTATGAAACCAAGAGAAAACTTTTAAGTTTTCTGTTAACGTCGAGTTATGTTCTCAGAAATCCATGTGTTTAGAGTTTAAAGATACTAATAAAATGATATTTTGTATGTTTAGAGTATTAAATACTTTATAAAAGGTAATTTTTGCAAACAACCTTACCATAAAAAAGTGAGAATAATCAGTCATAGATCATGGACACAATTTTAAATGTTTCTGTCCACATTTAAGGAGCTCTGGTGGCATAGTGCCTAAGGCATTTGACTGCTAACCAGAAGGTTGGTGGTTCAAACCCACAAGCCACTTTGCAGAAGGAAGACTGGGCAATCTACTTCTGTAAAGATTTACTGCCTCAGAAACCCAGAGGGGGTCACTATGATTTGGAATCGACTCGATGGCAGTGAGTTTGTTTTTTTTGGTTTTCTCCACATTTAATTTTCCTTAGTCTCTTATTGCTTCCTTCTAGTTGGTTCTTCTGTAACCTTTTCTGCACATTTTAGAATAAGTTACTGACTTGATGCCTAGTTATTTTTTGTCATAGAACCAAGGAAAGGAGCTCTGGTGGCATAGTGAATAAGGCATTTGGCTGCTAACCAGAAGGTCAGCAGTTCAAACCCACCAGCTGCTCTGCAGGAGGAAGATGGAGCAATCTACTTCTGTAAAGATTTACAGCTTTGGAAACCCAGTGCGGGGCGCTGTGAATTGGAACTGACTCGATAGCAGTGAGTTTGGTTTTTTGGTTTAGAACCAAGGAAACAAGGACATTCTCAAAAGTATCCATAATACAACCATCAAAATAGAAAGTTAACATCGATATATTGCAACCCTCTAACCCTCAGACACTCTAAGTTTTTTTGTCAGTTGTCCCAATAATTCTTTTATAGCAAAAAGATTTAATTTAGCATTACTTACTGCATTTAGAAGGCTGGTGGTTAAAACTCACTCCTTGGAAGGAAGGTTGGACAATCTACTTCTGTAGTGATACCACCTCGGAAACCCAAGGAAGGGTCGGTATGAGTCGGATCCGACTCAGCAGTGCATTTGGTTTGGTTTGGTGTGTCTTTAGGCTCCTTCAGTCTGGAGTAGTTCTTCAGTTTGTCCTTGACTTTCATAACTTTGACACTTTTGAAGATTACAGACCACTTAGTTTGTAGACTGTCCCTCAATTTGGGTTTACTTGATGTATTCTTCTGGTAAGATTCACACTATGCATCTTTGGAAGGAATATCGTAGAAAGTTGCTGTGTTCTCATTCCATCCTATTGGGAGGCACATAATTTTGATTTCTCCCATTACTGAGGAAGGCCGTATTGATCACTGGATTAAGATAGTGCCTGCCAGACTTCTCTACTGAAAGTTATTCTTTGCCCTTCATAATTAATGCGTAGTTTGTAGGGAGTTTTGTGAAACTATGTAAATATCTCACTCATTTTTATTTGCTTGTTTGTTATATTAGTGTAGAGTCTCATATACAACCCTGAAATCAACCATTCCTCCAATTTGCTGTGCCTGTTTTTAATGGAGAATGGCATTTTGAAGCTAAGATCTGGGAGCTAGGTGTACTCATTGTTGTTAGGATATACTTACTCCCCAGCACTGTCAGTGGACAGAGAAAGGGACTCTGTGTGTGTGTGTTGGGGGAGAGATACCAGGGTTTTGAACAGATTTGAACTGGTTCAGTCATTGTAAACAAAGGGGAATAGGAACAGACTTGAATTTTTAAAATGTGAGTGAAGCAGAATGACAACTGACACAGGAAAAACTGAGAACAAGCCCTGAAAAGGAACATTTAGATGAGGTGGAGTGAGCCCTTTAAGGATCCTGGTGCAGGAGATTGGATTATTGCCAGGACTGTGGAGCATGATACATATTCAAAGCAGCATACTTGGCTGCCATCTTAGATAGGGCAGCACTGTTTTCAGTTGTACTTATCAAGAGATTTGGTTGCTATGCAACATGTACGGTGCCCCTGTTTTCTAAGAGAGAGATTAAGTTTCTAGCAGAGAGTTGACCTGTAATTTTTCTCATTCCATGTGTTTACCCACATTTCACTAATTCATATCCACTCTGGTTTCGTTTCATTGGCCATGACTGAACTGAGAAGAAATGGTTAGAAGCTCTGGTGTGTACATGTGTATATACACATTTACATCTATATGGTATATCTATATATTGAAAAGTAAGAGTTCACATGTATGTGTGTACATTTACATCTATATAGATTTCTGTATCTGTCAGTGTTCTGAAGGAGCTCACATCAATACCTCTAATTGTGATCT